GTGATCAGTCACAAACCCACATAATATACTCGTGGTACTTCAAATGGCGGTTAAAGTTTGCCTATTATTGTAGTAATTTTATCTATTATTATAATAAATTTTTCATTAATATTGTAATTTTACCCACTATTATTATAAATTTTCTATTGATACTATACTTTTACCCACTATTTTGATAATTTTGTTCATTAATGTTATAATTTTTCACTAATGTTGTAAATTTTTTATTGATGTTGTATTTTTTTTCACTATTATAATAATTTTATCTATTATTATTATAAATTTTTCACTAATATTATAATTTTGTTCATTATTATTATAAATTTTTTATTAATATTATAATTTTACCTTCGATCGACAGAATGACAAGTTTTCGATATGAATCGTACCGTAGTTTGGTCCATAGGCTAAGGCATAGCCACAGCCATCGGCATCCTATTCTCTTTTGTTTTCGGGTAACACAATCCTTTCTGTTTCCTAATGATAGGGTTTTATCTTCTTCTGAACAATTTCGTACTTTAAAATCAAGAGAGATTTAGACTGTCCATTTTCAAAATATGCAACCATGATTGGCTTTGACTTTGGACAAAAAATTTACATTTTACTTATAAAGTGTTGAGAGGGTAATAGATTGGATTGTGTTAGGTTTCTTAAGTGTCGTAAGTTACATCGTGTTACAATTATATCTCATTTCAATCAGTCCTAGCTAACTTTCTTATGCAGGCTTGATGAGTAGATTCAATTAGGAACTTAATCTATTCCAATACCAAAGAATTTGGTTTTAATTTTGTGTTTGATTGACATATTGTGTTAAAAATTATATTTTTTTATCATATTATAGAATTATTTTAAGAATTCTCGACCCTAAGTATGAGACGAGCTTGATCATAAGTTCGGGAGTGGATGTTGTTACTTGCCACTTTAAATTCAGAGATTCATCATGCCAAAGTTTTATTTGGATTAGGTGTTTTCGTGGTCACTGTTTCTGTATAGTCTTGCAATTTACAAGTGCTTCTTGATTTATGCAATCTAGGAAAAACTTGAAAATTGTTTCGTAACACCTTTTTAAATGTTTTTTCATGTTTTTGTTTCCCTTAAATACTTTTTAAGTAGCATTTGTTTTACACTATAGTGGTTTTTTTTTTTTTTTTTCTTGTTTGGGTTTGCTTTCGTTTTCATTAATATGCATGTAGAATAGGCTTGTAAAATAATAAATTAACAAGTTTTTTTTTTTTTAACCAAAATTACATTTTTACTTAAAAAGTAGGTTAAAAAAATTACTACCAAATTGTACATTAGTTGAACAGGCCTTCATCTGAATGGTTTACCTTGCAACATGCATAATGATTGGTGTTGATAGCAATAGAATCAGCCCAAGAACGTCAAATTTAACATTAACAATTGATATAACGATAATTATTTTTATTATTTTAATTTTAAAGTCATGAGTTTAAACTTTGTGATTTTCTCCGTCGTCTATAATAGTGATTCATGGAAAAAAGAAAAGTCGGTCAAATCAACGGAAGCCAGTTTGTAGTATTCCACTGGAATAACACTGCGCATATCCTCCAAAATCATTGAATGAGAATGAAGGCAACATCACCTTCCATATATTCATTGTCATCCCTTAAATTGGTTTGACTGACGACTCTGGCAGCTGTTTATGTTTGTAGAATATTTTAGTATGAGCAAGGCTACGAGAACGGGACATAATTTGAGAATTTAATGATGTAATTTTAATATAATAATTGAATTAGTCGTGAATTTTAATGTTATATGAATCTCACAACTAATTCAATAGTTATACATTATTAGGTTCCTAAATTAAGTTTAAATCTTTTTAGTAAGGTAGTAAGAAGAAACTTTTGTAATATTAAAAATTAAACATTAATTGAATGATATTTAAAATTTATTTATTTTTATTTCTCTTTATTCACACAATTTACTATTAAATAATCAAAAATAAAATAACAAAGAGAGAGAAGAGTGGGATATATGTGAATTGGCGTAGTTGTCTAGCATTGAAAGACGTGCAATAAAAATGATACTTTTGAGGAAAAAGTGAAATTCTATTATGAATTTTGTTATATTTAGCAAAAATAAATAAAAATTGAATCAATCTTGACTGTTATTTTATTTTTATAAATTAAAAATTTAACTTGTTAACTATAATATTGTATAAATGTTTTGGTTGCTTCTTGGATTCATTTTGTTTGTATTTGGATACGTTTTTTTCAAGAATATAGACAATGAAGCAAGCAAGCAATCACTTCTGATTGAATATGATTTTCATTTTGTCGATGTGGAAATCTCAATTTATTCACAACATCACTTGGTAGGTTCCACTCTTGATCTGGCCTAGACTCAAGCGAGACGACATTGTTGCTTCTCTATCTTCCCTAGAAATGTCTAAAAAGAACGAATATATGCAGTATACAACGTTTGGCAATGGCAAAATTTATAGGAGGTGAGTAATTGACGGTCCAAATCATTTTTGAGAACAATCAATTTTAAATTGAACATTATAGCGCGTCATTTGAATCGACAAGGGCATTGCTTTAGATTCAACTTTTATTAGTGATGTCTTAGGGATGATATATATAACATATTTAAAGTTCTCAAATTTTTCTTTTTTGGTGTTAAAAATGGAAATGTAGATAGATCATTTTACGTATTTATTAGACAACATTGCTCACTAGCATCACACAATTATCTACAAAGGATCTAACCATACTTATGTTGGAACCGAATCTAAAGTCCCACCGTGTGTTATAAGCGTTGAAGATTAAATTTATTTTCAACGAACTGTCGTAATTATAGAAATTCGAATTCAACTATTGAACGAGAAAATTTGAATTTTTATCTATTAGATTAAGTGCTTATCGATAAAATTGTCAATTTTGAATATACCCAAAGAAGATTGATTTTTTTTTTTTTGGTCATAAAGAATATTGAATTCACGGCCTTTATTAAATACAAATTTCCTCCTTAGCATAAATGTAATTTATATTCGGATGCAATTTCAGTACGTAAGAAATAATTTTTTGGTATTGTACCTTAGCTTTTCATTTAGTAAAATCATGACACGTGATAAAAAAAAAAATTCTACTAATTTATTTAAAAATAATAATTTATAAATCAATTTAACTAAATTTTACGAAATCTAAATTAATTTGGTACGATACACACGTTTTTTTCTGTCGGAAAACAGACCACGGTGGTGGCGCGGAAACGGCTGCGGCGATGATTGGATTAGTATTGCTCGTCAAACTAGAATGAAATCGTACCTCGCATACCTAACAGATTGAACCACACGCTCCCTTTAGCCGCGTGTGAGTACTTCCACTACAGGCCTAGCCGCCTAGGAATTTAAATATAGGAAGAAAAGGAATATATAGTTGTTTTTAACTAAATATCTCGGCAAACAACCAATTGTATGGCATGATTATTAAATGTTTAAATTCTTCAACTACCCCTCATCATGCTGAATAATTACATAAAGGAAAGCCCATTTTGTGTCACGCGGATTTAAAAAATATTCTTCCAAGATTTTCTTGTAATTACATAGAGAGTGTTCCTCCTCTTTGAGAACTTATTCAATGAATTTATTCTAAAGCTTTTAATTTATACTTTAAAAAATTAAAATTCTTATATTATACCCTTAATTAAATAAAAAAGTATCAAAGTAGTGTAAAAGTAAATGTACCTTTTATAACAAATATTTTTATAATATTTATCATATTATTATATTTTTGCAAATAATTATTTATATAATACTCATTTTTTTGTGTGTTTCTAATAGAAATTTAGTGTTCAATTTTTTTTAAAAATGCAACGAGTTACCATCTTTTATTTTATTGAGGGTGCAATATAAGAATATCAATCTTCTAGAGTATAAATGGAGAATGCGAAAATCTTTCAGGTTACAAAAATATTATTAATGGATGAATTTATTGTTTTTAAACCTAATTTGCAAATCCATCCAAATTATGATGCAATTATACTATACCTCTTGAACATTTGATTGGCTAGTACAACATATCTTGAATGAAATTACAAGAGAAGATGATGAGATTTAAACATGTGATTTGAATATGTAAAATTAAAATAATAATCATTTTAAGATAACTGCTAATCTCAAATACTTGATGGTAATGTGAAGCCACCTAAGCTATAAAACAAACAGTGCCATACCAATGGCATATAAAACAAGAAGTTGTTGTTTTAGTAGGTAAAAAATTGGATATTTTTGCTTAATGCTTAAGTTTGAGTTTTTCATAATTACGGTAGCTCGTTGAGGCTAAAGTTATTCTTCAACACCTAAAACACGCAATAAAGTTTTAACTTTTGATTTAATATAAAAATAGTGAAATTTATTATAGATAATTGTGTGATATTGAAAAATAATTCTCTTTCGACAAATACTTAAAGTAAACAGTCTGAATAAAAAAAAATGGTGTAACTTTACCGGGGGCACCCACTTCCTTTTCACGCTTATATTTTTTTACATGAACGACCTAACAAATGACGAAACGGGTAAATAGAAGATCAGATCAAGGGCGTTTTGGGCATCAGATTTTATGCAAAAGGACAAAAGAATGGTACCTTAGTAATTTATTGATGGTAGAAGGGCAACTACAAAGCTAGTCACGCGATAATAAGGTGGGTGAGCAATAAAATAATACCAAAAAACCAGAAGGCAGATGCGTTTATATAAATAGGTGCTGGTGTTTATCGGCAGCAGGTATCTCTTTCTATGTTCCGGCACTGAGCTGAGCGGAGCGGAGTTGAGTTGAGTTGAAATAAAAGGTCTTAGCTATGGCGGTGGGGTAAATATCACAGTGAGTCGACTCGCAAGCATAGAAACGACTTCATCGGAGAGTCGTAAAGTTTGATCCGAGCTTTCCGGTGGGGCTAGAGAGAGAAAACTGTGTTTAATGATATTTGTTACTTTATTTTTCTTTTGGTAGAGAGAAAGTTGAAGAAATTTCTTTGCGAAAATGAACTTGAATGGTTACAGCAGTGTTGAAACAGAGTACATTAGGAGGCATCATAGGCACGAGCCTGCTGAGAATCAATGTAGCTCGGGTCTCATCAAGCACATCAGAGCTCCAGTCCATCTCGTATGCTCTCCCTCTCTCTCTCTCTCTCTATTTTTGTTTATATATATATATATATATTTGTTTACATGCATGTGTGTTTCTCGATCAATTGATTGATTTGTGGATTTTGGTTGAGGTTTGATTTTGTTTGGTCAAATTTCTAAGAGATATTTATTTATATTTCTGAATTTCTTGAAGTTTGATCGGTATTGTTTTGCTTCGTTTTGTGATTTCAACAGAATCTGATGCTTTTCCAATTTGGTGAATTAATTATTCGACCTTCTTTTGTCCTTTGGTTGCAAAGTAAATGGAGGAGGAGGAAGGATAAAAAAATTTTGAAGCTTAAGTTTCATGATGCCAATGTTTCAGATAAAGCCAAAGTGTAGCTCAGTGAAGCTATTTCTTTTTCGCCTTTCAACTGTTCCTATCTTCAATTTCTGTGGTTGAATTGAAATTTTCTTTCCAAGTTTATCCATCCTGCATGACCAATCTGAGCAAATGTTGAGAATCGAAAGTTGAAGTAACCAATGCTTCAATTTGCTTGCTGCAATCAATTTTTGGAACTCTGCAAAATCTTATGTTCTTTTCTGGAGTTAGGATCTTAGGTTAGTTGAGGAACATGGAAGCCTGGAAAGTGTTGTTGGGGTTTTGTTCACGGGGTTGAGAAATTTTCCCTATTTTGATTTAAAGGTGAAGAATTAAGATATTTCACCTATTTGGCAGACTGTAAATTGGGAAGAGTTGATAAAATCTCCATCTGATTAGAAATTAGTACCTACATTCAAGAAGTGCTTTGGCGCAGTGGTAAGATTAGTAAATTGTATCCCGGGCATCAAGTGTATGAGCTGTGGAAACAATCTCTTCGCATGCAGCGTAGGACTATGTACATTTAACCCTCCTCCACCTCGCAGTGGCAGGACTTTTGTGCACTGACAACTTTTTTTTGTTGTGACTCATTTTTTCCGAGTAGTTTGCTTCAATGCACAGAAACCATCCTCATTTCTTAAATTGGATCTTGAATACATTTTTGTGGTAATGTATTTTATTCGTTGTTTTGGACACTGGCTTAATTCTTAATTAGTTCTGATCTTAGGTTCCTTTACCTTTATATTAGGTTTGGTCATTGGTAAGGAGGTTTGATCAACCACAGATGTACAAGCCGTTTGTGAGCAGGTGTGTAGTGCAAGACAATTTTGAGATTGGGAGTTTGAGAGAAGTTGATGTCAAATCGGGCCTTCCTGCCACTACAAGCACTGAAAGGTTGGAACTTCTTGATGATGAAGAGCACATTCTCAGCATCAAAATTGTCGGAGGGGATCACAGACTCAGGGTATGTAAATTTGTTGCTTTCCGTTCTAGCCTAGTTGCTCCGTCCACTGTTATTTGGTTTTTCATTCCTTGGCATGATTTAATATTCTGCATTGCTTATGTCGTTTGCCCATTGCTTGAAGGAGGGACAGGGTTACGGCTTCATTTTTTTATTTTTATTTTTTCTGACCAGGACAAAGGGGACGACTGCAATGATGTATATCCATTGTTGCAGTTCTACTGAACCAGCAAGATACTACCTTGAATGGTGTTAGGAGTAAGGACTTTAGGTTCCCCTCCCCCAGAAAGAAGTTAGGACTCTAGGTTTCAAATCCTAATGGGGACATGGTAGTGTATGTTGTAGACTCGGACTTGCAATGTATAGAACTTCACATTTTTGCTGGTAGGGTTGAATTTTTGACTTCAACTTATCTAGTCCATAGTTATTGGGCCAAATTTGCATCTCACATGTCATGTTTGCACTTTAAAAAAACTTGTCATTAATGATTAATCATTATTTTGAATATAGTCTTTGTTGGAAATGATTATTTGTTTTTGATGGATTGGGGTGGAACTAAATTTTAAGCATCATACCTTATCAGAAGCTACTAAAATCCTATAATCAAACCTTAACCTTATTTTTTCCTTCAGAAGTTTATAATCATAATTTAGACAGTGTGGTTTGGCTACTGATTTATTAGTGTTCCTGTCATCCTAATCAATCTAAACCAGCTCTTACTTTTTAGTTCCCTTTTCTTTTAAAGAACTACTCTTCAATCATTTCCGTCCATCCGGAGGTCATTGAAGGAAGACCAGGGACTCTAGTGGTTGAATCGTATGTTGTAGATGTGCCTGAAGGGAACACTAAGGATGAGACACGCCACTTCGTTGAAGCATTGATCAAATGCAATCTCAAATCTCTTGCTGATATTTCAGAGCGGCTTGCGGTTCAGGATAGGACTGAGCCCATTGAACAGTTCTAGAACTGAGGCTGGGCTATGGTGCAGGCTGCTTTACCATGGATGAAGGTTCTTCCAGGGCGTTTGACATTTGGAGGCTTTGGGGACGGACTGGTATTGTTGTCTTTGGTTTTCCTGTTCCATTTGCGGATCCATTTTGCTTTAGTTTCCTATATTCTCCATCTTAGTTGTGAAGTTATGCTGGACTTCGTCATTTGTACCTCGAGTCACACAGCTCTTACAAAGGTTTCTAAACGCTGTATACATGGAAAGTTAGGTGCATCTGTCTCATTTCCCGGGGTTTTTATGTGGTGCATCATGCTTGATAGTCTGTATATATACGTGGTGAAAGGGAGTTGGTCTTTGTCATCGTTTTTAATTATCGGTTGCATAAAGAGTGGCAATGGTCATTTATGGGCTAGTCGGGTGTACGCTTCTTTAGAGGCCTGTAATATATCATCATCTATCATCAATTGAGGAGGATGTATTATTCTTATCGTATCTATCATGTATCAAGGATGAGACCCGCCAGCACTTCCTCTTCTCGAAAAGATAAATGAAATTTTAGTGGTTTTTTGAATTGATAGGGTCAATAAATGCATCACGGTCCCTCGAGTACTAGACCTCTTTACCTTAAAGGAGAGTGCTTGCCTTTTTGGGACTACTCCTCCCAGACCCTGCAGTGATGAAGTCTTGCAAATGGGCTGCCCTATAATATATTGAGGATAAGCAAAAAGAAAAACCACAAATTGGGAAAACGAGAAGATGAGAAATCCACGAGGGGTGCAGGGAAGAGCTGTTGGGTATTTCCCTGCTTGCCTCGTATGCTAGCCTGGTCCTCGATTTCTAGCTCATATCAAATGTTAACTTCGATTGTAATTTATGTTAGATACTTATAGCTAAAACATATCTTCATCTTTTTTTTCCTTAGCTTTGATATCTTCATCATCTTATGAGATTCAATAGTAGGATTTATGAGATTCAATAGTAGGATTTACATTCATGGATACGCCTCATCATTTTGTCTCACCCCTTCCCATCCCAGTTTCGAGCAAAATGTGAAGAGAGAGGAGGTGGTAAAAGTTGGGAGAGGAAATGCTATCTTAAATAATCGACTGTATTGTTTTGTACACACTGTATAGAAGATACAAGCTCCTCTTCGTCATCTTGAAGTAGTTGTTCTTGGTCAAGACAGCAACCCTTCTTATCTCATATTTCGGAAACCTGTGCAGCAATTAGGATTCTATCTCGAATTTTGCTCGACAGGACATTTCAGCCTCTCAATCGATAGGAAAATTAGTTCTCAGTAATCACACGAGTACAATGGAAAAGCTAAAACAACACTTATGGAAAATGCCAAAGCAGCCAGTGTGTTCAGCCCCAAAATGACGCTGGCATTCACTGAGATAATACATAATAGAATTAAGGGAATAATTTCTGACATTTTTGTAAGAGTTATGAAGCCATCAACAGAGAATATGACCCATGATTTTGATTTGAAAAAGGAGCAATTTAAAATCCAGTTTGGCCAAAGGATATTCATCTTCCAGGTAGCACACTACACACTCCGGTTGCAGTCTGCTATCACTAAAGGAAGGAATGAACCCCAGGCCAAGAAAATAAGAGAATATACTGCTATTGCGGACGATAAGGGGGCATTGCTGCTGAATGTGGGAAGCCATTCTGGGTATGCAATGGCATCATTCCGGGGCCCATTTCAGGAGGCATACTTGCAGGTGGCATGTAATGGTGATTATGCATCTGACCATGCATGGACTGAGGCACTGTTGCGCCAGGTGAGCCCCAACCTGTTGAAGGGTGAGGCACTGGAAGCCCACCAGGAGTAGAAGCATATTGAGCGACATTGTATTGGAGAGAGGTGGGGCCTGCCATTGGTAGTGGTTGCTGCCCAAGAACTGAAGGTTGAGAGTTCAACATAGGAGCATTAGGGGTTGTGTAATCTCTGCTTCGATCATTGTTAACCTGAAATCAGCATATCAAGATTGGCACAATTAGCCTCGTCTCAACTTTAAAGGGAAACAAAAATCACACGAGAAGCTGTGATGTAGTTCTGATTCTATCATGGAAATCAATGCTGTTGGGAAAGAATGTATATCTATATCTATCTATCTATCTATATAATAAAGTACAATACAATTTAAATCTCAAAAAGAAAAACAAAATGACTTTTAATTTTCGCAGTTGAAATTTTTTTAAATTTTACTTTAAAATTAATCCGACGACTAATATTAACACCCCAAATTTAAGGAAAAATAGACCTCTAAAGGTGTGTTTGGAATGACTTTTTAAAAGTGTTTTTAGAATTTATGACTACTCTTAAATATTTTTTTTTTAAAAAAATGGTGTTTAAAACTGCCTTATTACCACCCCCAACGCCACCGCCACCGCCACCCCCACCCCACCCACTACCCCACCACCCACCTCCACCACCAATCCACTACCACAACTACCTCCACCACCACCTCTACCACAACCACCGCCACCACACCCACTGCCCTACCATCCACTACCACCATCGTTGTTGCCACCTTACCACCCCCACCGTTGCTACCACCACCACCACCACTACTACCACAACAACTACCACCACCACCATTGCCCCACCACCACCACCACTATCGCCATCCCACCACCCTCACCCTCACCCTCACCCTCACTGTTTCTGTCCCACCATCACCCCTACCACTACCACCACCCCTAACGCCCCACCACCACCCCCACAATCATCACCACGCCACTCCACCAACACTGCCGCAAAGCCAAACCCCCACCAACGGCCAATTACTACCACCATCATCCACCAATCACCATCATCATTTTATTCTTATATTTATTAATACTACTACCATCATCCCACTATCAGCACCCACCACCACCATTATTGTCCACTACCATTAGTTGTCGCCTGCCACTATCACCCACACCCACCACATCTACCACCACCACCCGTCATCGTTCACTACTGTCGCCACTCATTGTCACCCACCTACCACCACCACCATCATCGTCATTCGTCATTAACTATCACACTGTCGTTCAAAAACACCCATTGTTGCCCATTACTACTATCATCATCACCCCACCACCACCATTGTCAACCACCGTCACAGTCGCCCACCACCACCCACACCCACGCCCACCATGACAACTATCATCACCCATGGCTGCCACTACTACCACCACTACCATTGCGACCCATGGCTGTCACCACCACCACGGTCATCGCCACTCACCACAATCATCATTGTTTCCCACCACCACCATTACCACTGGTGCTTAAATTTTTTTTTTTCTCCTTTTCGTTTATGATTTAATTTTAAGTGTGAATACAAATATATTTATTGTTGACAATTTTTTTATTACTCTGTGCCTTCAGGCACAAAAAAAATAAAACTACTATAAAATGTCCACTAATCTTCAAAACTTTTGATTTTCTTTTTTACCACTTAATAATTCTAAAATGACATATCTATCGTGCTATAATTGTTGTTATATTAATTATTGTTATAATGCCATACCAATGACATGGTTTAACTGTGTAACCATCGGTGTTCTTGCATTCAATATATACATTAGTTGCAATTGGCAAATTCAATTGTGATCTTTAATTGAATGTAACTTCTAAATTTCTATTTTACTCTCAAATAATACCATACCATAATACCTGTTTTGTAACTTGACTGACTGCCTGCACATCTTCGCATAATCAACTGTTCAATTTGTAGACTGAATTAATTTAATGTAGTGTTTGATGTGTACTATACGTTGTGTCCAGATTTCAAGAACTCACCTTTCTCTTTTGGGCCCATATGTGGCTCTATCATTCCATATTTTATATCTATATCTATAGTTATACTATTATAAAATATCAACAAAAGTGAAACTTTTGATCAACTATTTTGTTCCTATAAAAATGATTAAAGACACCTACATCCTTATGTATTTAATTATCTAATCTATATCTATATTGCTTATAAATGTCAAACAATAAAAAAAAATTTGATTACTGATCTCTAATTAATTACATAGAGACAATCATATTCTATTATTAGTTTTAACTCTCAAACCCTTCTATAGAATTGGAGTTCTTTTTATTCTATATTAGTAGCGCTTAGTTATCTCATGTCAAGATCTTTAATAAGCGTATAGCGCATGATTGAAATGAATAGCGAAGATGAATTCATATAACCAACCTCAAATGATTAGGCCATAAGGTTAAGGCTAGTTATCTTATGTCACGATTTCTTTTGTGACTTTAATTAGATGAATTACAAGTTAGATATGCTCTTTACAAGGATGAAAAAAGTGCTAGACTGTCAAATCTATCAAAAAAACTTCCTTAAAATGTAGCTGGGAGAAGTTTTCATAATGGATGCATGAAAAAACAACATTTCTTTTCCAGCAAGGATGTTCAGTTCAACTTCATTGTTTTTCTTTGATGATTCAAGTTCTAACCTTCAAATTGTCATGTTTGAGCCAAAGGATGCAAGTAAATTTTATTTTTTTTGTATTTTAATGGTATTATTGGTTGTGTACAGTTGAACCATAGTGCTCGAATTCATGCTCTATTGCTTCATTCTTATTAATATTAGAAAGTGTATTGAACTTCCCAAAAAAAAATTAGATGTATATCATATTATCACATGTTCTTTGATCTTGATTTTGATTTGGATTTATCCATTTTATCCTTAATCAATATTATAAGGTCAATTAAATAATAACTTCCTATATATATCCTATTATCAACCCTCTTTATTAATTTCATCAGCTTTTCCTCTCATCTTTTGGAACATATTTGATATTATCATCTAAATACATTATTAGTTGCATGAGTACGTGACTCTTGGTCTCCACCAAGATTAAGCATTTTCTGCCAAAAAAGGGCTTACTATTATTAGACATGACATTTTGTGTCACCCATTTTTCTGTTCTTGATATGGAACACATCTATATTTATTTGTAAATGTTTTTTAGACAGTTTTATTTGAAAAATGTTAATTGATTAAATAATTAATTTTTTTATTTTATTCTTAATTAATAATATAAAAACAATTATACCCTCCATTCTATGATGTATACTACTTAATTTGCACTTCCATGAATATTTATTTGCCGGTACTCAATAAATGGATGACAAATTATAAGAAAAAATATCGGGTAGAAAAGTCCAACATCACCCGTTGTCTCATGTATTCCTAATGTATTTGATTCTTTAAATGATTTAAAACCAAGAAATCACATTCATATTTAGTGAACCTAAAATACAATGTTCATCAAAATTTTAGCTCAAAATGATTCACATGCAACACAAGCGTGCATCAACTAATAAATCCTTAAATGTCTCGACACCCCAATACTAAATACTTCCGCATCAAACTATGAGCAATAAAACATAGCCATCTACCCATGCTCCAAACACTAAAAAGATGTTTCCCAAGATTGATCATTTTATTGAGCTACTTTTGACGGAAAAGACCACTTTTCTTTCTTTTTCCTTTTCTTTTTCATAAAAATATAAAAAGCATTAAAGAACACCAAAGGGGGTACAAAACTTACCTTGTGCATAGGGGTGTTCACCCTACCCTACAGGTAGTAAATATACTCTTCCGTCTTCCTACCCGATACTTTGCAGAAGAGTTTTTTCTTGGCCTACCCTACCCGACAGGTGTGGTATTCCTTTAATTTTTGGATCATTTTAACAATTTAATTAAATAACATGTACCAATTTAACAACACAATAAATAAATTAACACTAAAATCTAAAACAACTACAACAAGAATTATAATAAAACACAAGAAAGTATGAACATCAATCCACCATAATTGTAACACAAATACAATAACAATTAATTTAAGTTTAAACTTTAAACTATATGAAATACATTAAAATCATAATTGTTCTGCCTGTGGTTAGGGTTTTTTTAATTTTTAAATATACATACATTAAAAAATTATTACGATTAGGATAGGGTAGGAATGCGGAAATGGATGACTATTCCGCATTCCTACCCGAAAATTGTCGGAAGACCAAAAATTCTTCCGCATTCCTACCTGATTTTTGCGGCTAATCGTTCAATAGGGTAGGGTAGGATCAGGTAGGGTAGGAACTTGTGGCCTGTCGGAAATTTGAACACCCCTAATTGTGCACATATTTTACCATGCAAATCTCCAAGAAGTGAACACCGAAAAATGGTAAGATCCAGGGAAAAATATTCTCATATTAAAAACTTACATATCCAAGGGCATAATTACATTACCTTGATACTGAGATCAGTGTGGCGTGAATATGAGATGTGAAGCTTGCAATACCCTCCATCGTATATGCAGTGTCCCTCCAAGGCTTCCTTGGCAACAACAGCCATCTGAACATCTGCAATTTCATTGCAAAATTAATCCTAATATTGACAAGCTAACAATCAATTTGAGGTTTGTTGTTGAAGAATCACTGATACCAAACCAATCCATCTTTCTTAAAAATAGCAGCTAAAGAAGCCAAAATGTTTACATTTCAAGATGTAAAAATAATCAATGTACCAACATATAAATCAAATTCGCACCCAAAACTAATAAGAATCCATTGTCAAATTTTCTCACTTATTTTTTTCACTGCATCTGGAAAACTGAAAAAAAGTGGAAACCTGAAGGAGGAAGTTTCCATAAAAGGTGACGGTGGTGATACATATAACATACCGGATATTTTTTGTACAGTCACACAAAGCCTTAAATTGCTTTTTGATTATTTTACCTTTTGAGACCATACAGAACTTCACACTCTCCAACTAGACGTTAATACTTGGCATCTCAGGTATTGCCTACTGATGTGGCTCCATTAATAGTAGGACTCTTCAAACTATTATCACGCAACTCTACTAATTGAACACATATAAAGAATGTAAAACAGCTAGTTCTAAAAAAAAAAATATCATTTGAAAAGCACAAAAAAGAGAAATAGTACCTTATACTCCTATAATATACACGTGGTTACCAATTCATTTAGTGAGGAGATGCAATACATATAATGCGTGATATAATCTATGTGATCACTTTGTACAGTAGATAAGCACCCAGGCCAGAGCCTAGGCTACCAAAGGGCCATTTCCTCAGCCCACCAGGTGTTTTCGCAATCAAAATACATTCTAAATTGTAATATAACAGACTTATTGAAATGAGTAGCCAGGTTTTAGCTTACCAGGATATTGAATCAACGCCTGAACTCCCCCATTTTTATCAAACATGGCAATCTTTAGAACAGTCCCAAAAGTAGAGAAAACCTGACCATAATCCACAGACATAAAGGAAAATAATCAGTAATATGAAAGCCATAGCAAATAAAAAGTGACTTGAAAAAAGATGCTCAGAGGCCAGATCAATGGATGATACCATGTGTAAAACGTCCAAGGTAATTGCATATTGCATGTTCTCAACAGAAGCAAGAAGAACATTACTCTCAGGCTCTAATTTCTTCCCATCCAAACCCAAACTAAACTGCAGTGACGACAGAAAGTGCTATATCATTAGATTATCAAAAACATTGACCATCCAATAAAATGAAGCAGGCATCTTATGCATCTTCTGGTTTGAGGATCAACTGTGTTCATCAATCAAAGTAATATTTGGAGAAACTGTCATTTATTCAACTTATCTAAAATACAGCACACATAATAGATGTTTATTACACTGGACACTGGAGACCAGTTACGAAAAACAGAAAGATGACAAACTCCATGATCCAAACATATCCACCACATGCAATGGGCACATTATGGTAGAAGGTACTTCAGCTGGATGACCACTACAGAAGTGCATAGTTGTCAAATTGCGTATTGAAAGGCGTACTTTTTTTCACAAATAGGGTATCGTATTGTATCGTAAGATACGGACAATTTTAATAATTATTAATAAAATATATATACACCTTTGTAAAAAAGTCATAAACTCATAATAACATAGCATTTCATTAATATTTCACAAACTATTCAAGTTTTCAGCATAGTTCAGTAATATCAAAATACAAAGACCTCTAATTCAAACTTCTAACATCAACTGCTAGAACAATCCTAATATTAATCAAAAATTTTGAACTCAATTGAACAATATTAACAGAAGACTTTATTTATTTTTGTTAAACTATAACCATTGAAACGACATTATTTCACTAACTAGTGATTTAATAATAAGCCTAAGGTGAAACGATGTTATTTCAGCCCCAAAAAACCAAAAAAATAAAAAAATAAAAAACAGAATCTTCACGTATTGTACATATCGTATCGTGATACATACGATACGGTGCAAAAATGATACAGGGACACGATACGTATATTTTTTCAGGTGTAATAACTATACAAAAGTGTAGGTAATATCAATCAATAAACTACTTCCAAGTGCTTACCTGACCACTTGCATCTATTGCAGAGGAAGCAACAGGAAGGTGAGGATTAGTGTAATCCCTGCATCAAAAGAAGCATAGGAAGTATACTTTAAGAAAAACGGTAAAAACAAAACCATAACTCCAATGAAGAGGCAAATAGGTGGCCGCCAAGGTACAAGTTGGATTATTATACACGAATCGTTGATCATCACGAAATTGACCAAAAACACAGAAACACAAAGGCTAACAGTGCAGAAACATGGTATTAGCCAAAACCTTCTCAGATTACAAACATACAATATCAGAAAATCAGATATTTGGTATACCTGCTACGATGGCTCTGAAATTTCACACTCAAATCTGTGTGTGCAGAATATGTGATGCGAAAGGAACATGGTCCCAGCTCTGGAATCAAATAACTGATACATACCAAGGAATAAAAAGTCACTACATCATCAAAGGGAGTAAAGAACACATAAATATAACCGATGAGACCAGTAGTAAGAATCCCTGTATAGATAACAAAGTTGAACATGAATGTGTCAGCAACTATCGTTTGATGGTCCAACCGAGCACCTTTTATAGATAAATGAATGACTCAATTGGCAAATCATGACTCTCACATTCATCTATTTTTTGTAAAACATTAAGGAAATACAAGCATAAAAAATTTGGACACGAGGCTTTGGTGATCACGACATTAATAAACAGTAATTAAGGAAACCATGGTCCTGTAACTGCACAGTGACTGTCTAACTAAGCAAAGGTCTCTGGTGTTCTACTTTGGCCAGTATAGCTCAGCTCCCTTCCATTCTAATTAGCAACTACCCCATTACTAATACATGCAGCACATGTGTCAGGAAGGAACGGTGGTGATTGGATATAATGAAAAAGGGAACACAAAACAATGTGCCTCTATGAGATTCATCAGAATGTGCCTGACAGATGTTCAGCCCCAACATATGTGCACCACATTTACAGATATATTCCATAATAGTTGGGACTACATCCCAAGTTGAAAAATAAATCCAACATCACCTCGGAATGCTTCTTCCATCCAAGGCATCCTTCGCGGATGAGGCAGTTAGGGAATCAGAAAATTGCACTAAAGCCTGGAAAGATCATATGCAAAATGAATAATTAGTGTTGTAAAGGGCAGGAAGAAGTGAGTTATAGAAAAGCGATGCCACTGACACACAACCACCTGGAATCCAGCTGTCTTCTCAAAGGTAGTAATCTTATGTACAAACCCAAAAGCTGAAAACACCTGCAAAACTATAACAAGTTTCAGAAAGATGTATTGGAAAAGAAAGTAGGCATTTTTTCCCACTATCCTTTCTGACGATAGTAGCTAAGACAGGAGCACATAACAATTGCGGCTAGCTAATTTTCTATGCCAAAAAGAGTGTACAAAACTCTATATGCACAACCAACGTAACAGTCACCACCTCATGAGCAAAATAAAACCCAACAATAGCTTGCAAAACATCATACAGGGAATACGAGTATATAAACTATCAACTGAAAAATGTCTGGTGAAACATCTAATTGGCTAAAAAGTAGAAACCGGGAAGAGTATCCTTCTGGTTAGACCTTTATTTGGCCTCCAAGACAAAATTGTAGAACTCCTTTAAAATCCAGATAATTTCACACAGTCTCTTGTAGAATTCCTTTTAGGATTTGACATTTAGATATGCTTTTTAACCAGCTATTAATTCCCATGACAGGAAGCAAGAAGACTTGTAACTTGAAATTCGTGTGACTGCCCCACAAGAAGGATGGATGAAAAGAGCATTACCTGATAGCATCACAAAATCAGTGACCTCGCTAGAACTGAAGATCCTATGATTCTAAACTATTTGCAATATGTTTAAATGCTTTCTATTTGGACAATTTTTATCATTCCTTAGCATTTGGAAAAGCCTCCACATCTTTCTCAGCTGATTGATTAATTTTCCAAATTAAAACTTTTCTCTCCCACTGAATGATCATTAGCAGTTTCCCAAATGCAAGCCAAAATGCAGCAGGTTTCTTCTGATTCAACATGTTAAGCTACCTGCTGACAGGTCACTATCCATAAAACAATTAAAACCTTAAGATTTTTATCAGTTATTCCTAGTCTCATTTAACAGCATCTTATCTAGTAGAAGCATCCCCAGGTACCATAAAGGCTGCTCCTCAAGGATCAGCTCTCCAGATGGCATGGTACCAAGTGTATAAAAAAACCAGTCTGGACAGCAATCTAGTTCTTTTCTCCTCCTACTTATCAATATTCTCTGCTACCAATAAACATATACAGTCTCGGACGCTAACATAGCCAATCACAGAAAATCATTTTACTTTCAGTTTTAGTCTGGAACATCTCACTGTCATTGTGAAAAGAAACTCCAAACTCCTACAAACCAGGATTGAAGCTACATTTGTGGTCTGGCCATCTCTCCTCTACCTCAACATGACTCCTCACAACCCAGCAAAGGCCTGTCCTAGCTATGGGTTCAAAACATATGAAAATAAATCTCAATAACAAAATTTTTGCACCACAAGGCTACTGTGTTAACTATACATAGTGAAACTCAAAATCACAGCCCAGAAAAATGGATTTTATTGTTTTTTGCCCCTACGTACATTATCAAAAAAAGGAGCACAACATTCACCTCCTTCCTGGATCAGAATGCACTCATTTTCCTGATCTGTGAAACTGACAGTCTGACACCAATAACTAAAGCAAAGGGGAAACCCAAATTTCAAAGCACTTAAAAGGGATTAAATCATTAAAATTGTTGAATGATGAAGCAATCACATTGAATAATAGACTTGCATCAAGAACAGTAATGCTACAAACATAAATTCCATCATAATCCATGCAGACATGAAAGGGAGACAAGTGCAGAAAACATAAAAAGAAAATCCAAAACTCTCAGAAAGTTAGGGATAGGAAGATGAGGAAGAAGAAGGGAAGAAAGAGCCAGAGCTAAGCAAAGGAGAAAGAAGACAAACACACATTCGCTCTTTCTCCCGATGCAATTAGCTGCCATCGAAGGTATTTCCTTGACATGGGCCTGCTGAGTCATTCACATTCACGTCAAACAAAAGCTTAAAAAAGTATGACATACCACCATGAACCACCAAAAGCCATTGGCATTATCTGTTTATAGACAAGTTTTCCTCTACCAACTGTGAGGAAGAGACATAATTACTTACCAAGTGTAAAACATCAATGCTGACAAGGCGCGCATTAGTGCCCTCAATTGTCACTAACAGTACATTCCCAGCAACATCTGCAGTAGTTTTGTTGTTCACTATTTCATGCCTGTTGGAATATTGTAGGTACACTGTTTTCCCTCGTACCTGAGCTGGTTCTGAGGACGAGGCATAATATGATATCATTGCAATAGCTTGATTTAATTCCACCTATTATACAAAAAGAGATATGGACAGCAAAACAATGATCAACAAAATATGATTGAAACAACTGACCAATATCACAAAGCAAAGAAAAGGAGAAGCATTAATGTGCCACTTACAAATTCAATAAAAGCTTGATTTCTGTTTGCTCCAACATTACACTTTGTGTTGACAACTTTGCCAAATGGCTTCCCTAATTCAACAAGTTCCTCCTCTGTACACTCCCATGGCAGGTTTCTTAAATGAAGAACCTTGGATGGAGGTTGCGTGTAGCGGAACTGTTGCTGACTGGATACAGATGCCATTCTGATCTATTAACCCTAATCTACCAAAACACAGTAAAATAACGAATCATTCAGGTCACAAAATACAAAGCCGACTTATATTAGTGTCCACCATCCTAAAAAGAAACACAAATTTTTAATGCATAGTGGAGCGTCAAACCATTACACATTTGACAAGCTATCTCCTCGTCCAATTTGAATTGTTTTGTGTTTATCCTGATTTGTTCAATAGCCCGTGGTATAGCCTACTACTGACCTCAGAGCAAGGCTTGAATTCCAAACTCAATAATCCACTTTCCAATTCTTATAAAATCTCGCTTGTAACCAGAAGAGAGATTCTCAAATTTTAGAGCAAAGCAAGGTTTGGAACCCAGCTTCTTATAGATAGGGGGGGGGGGGGGGGGTGAATATCTTCCTTTCCTCTATTTAGCTCACACCAAGTTCATTATATTTCCCTCTGGGCAAATAGTCTTTCATTTTATCTCTACCCTCCTGTGGAGCCCCTACAGCCCAGTACAACCTCTTACATAGCAGGTACCTACCTCCACATTAATCCTTTTGAATATCTATCTATGAAGTCCCTCTAAAAGAATAAAGAAAGAACCTGGAATGAAATGGTAATAATGAATACAAAAAACCAGAACGAGGCAAATGTTTTCAACGGCTAACGCCATATGTAACATACAAATAAGTCAATAGGACCGAATAAAATGCATGTTGTTACACAAATCCACTTTTGTACGATAATGAATATGAATCACAGATGCATAATTTCAATCACTAGACAAGTCTTGAAATCAATCGGGTGATCAATCATGGAGGTTGAAACGGATAGATAAGATTGATATATCATACACATACAAATCGAATGCTGTGAACATCAAATCCAGATTGATTCCAATTGCAGAAATAAAGAGTTAGGGCAAAAATGTGAAGAGAAAGCGAATCGAGGGATTGAACGCGATACCTGACTGCTGATAAGAAGTAAGATCGTTGTTATCCGCAAAAATTTAGGGTTCGCAGAGAACGGAACAGATTACAAACTGGAAAGACTCGAATTTCCCTAATCGTCGTGACGCCTTGTGGTGGGGATGGAAATTACATATGGATCTCAGATAACAAAGCTGGAAAGACTCGAATTTCCCTTATCGTCGTAACGCCTTGTGGTGGGGATGGAAATTTGGCACCGGATAAGCGTAGGTACGCACCCCGTGGAGGTTAGCATATAAACACATGGATCTCGCGTGGCCGCCGCTGGGGCCGAGTGCAAGCATAAAACTTGGTTAATTACACATTGCACCATCAACTATTTAATTTTATCACATTGCACCACGATTCTTTAAATTAGTTTTACATTGCTCAAAAGATAAACGTCCATTATCTTTTTGACAGAAAATGTCGATGTGTAAAGGTAAGGTAAAACAAGATCACATAGTTTAAAGGGTAAAGTATAATTTCACTTTTATTAATGCAAATAAGATTTTGGCAGTTATAACATAAATAAATCACTGCCATGTGACTTGCCAATAGCATGTTTGAATCCTAATTCTCCAATTGTAAATTGTGATACCCTTCTATGTCCACACTTTGATAGATTGTTGCAACCATAAAGACTTTAGGATTTGCACAACATGTGAAAGAATCTGGTGTTGGAGTAGATGTTGAGCAGTCAATAAAACAGTAATTAAAAAACTCACACTTGCGATTATTGATCTCTTTAAGTATTTACCTCCGAAGATATAATGATCTAAAATTACGCAAACAAACACTACAATATGTTTGTCTGACAAACCAGAAATTATATTTCATACTCTCTAGTGAATGAACACTCTAAAAGCGGTATGAATTGTAATGAAGAGGTAAGTGCAATTCGTCCCTTTTTGGAATTCTATTTAAGTTGATTACCTCATTTAATCAATTTGTGGAGTCTATTTAAGGAGTAAATATTAGGTGTAACTGTTACAATAGTGTAACCATCTAAATAAGAAAAGAGCAAAAATGATAAAATAAGACCCACTTCTAATCATGGAGGTGATTATGTATTACATGAATTTTACTGGGGTCTATTGGCTGATTTGTTTACCTATTAATAAACCGTTACATCACGTCATTTAAGAAGAAAAAGAGAATGTTTATTTTCAAACGGAGAATGACACATTGTATGAAATTTACTGTTTTTGGAATCTTAGAATGCATATTAAGTGGAATAATGACCAATTTGATCATTAATGCAAAAAAAAAAAATTTTATGAGAAGAAATTTGTTACTCTAAAGTTTTTTTTTTCTTTTCACATAACTTCAAGTTGCTTTTACTGTCTTTTTTGGAAGTGGGAAGAATGAATTGCCCATCAAGATAAAGGTTTCCCTGTTGCAAACAAGTGAACATGTTAAATGTCTTTTTAATCAGAGCATAGACATAAATAATTGGAATTATATTGAATACTAGTTATTCCTCGTGTCTGAAGGCACAGAGTAATAAAAAAATGATCAATAATAAATATATTTATATTTATACTTAAAATCAAATTACAAAGGTAGAAAAGAAATAAAGAAATTTAAACACTGGTTATAGTGGGGGGGAGCAGTGACAGTGATGGTGGGCGACAGTAGTGGTGGTGGGAAACAATGATAATTATGATAGATGATGACAACCGGTTGTAATGGTGACAACTATAGGTGACAATAGTGATGATGGTTGAGGGGCAGTGGGGTGATGATGGGATAGTGACGGTGGCGGTAAGGTGGCAGCAACAATGGTGGTGGTGTGACACTAATGGGGTGGGGGTGGTGGGGTTATGATAATGGAGATGGTAGGGCAGCGGTGGTGATTGTTGTGAAAGAGGTGATGGTGGGGTGGCAGTGATAGTGGCAATGACGATGGTAGTGGGGCGAAGAATGTGGTAGGGTGGTGATAGTGGTGGTGGTGGTGGGGTGACAGTGGTGGTAGTGGTGATTGTGGTGGGTCTGGTAATGATAGAGGTGGTTTTCAAACACTTTTTTTTAAAGAACTTATGAGAAGTTATAAGTATTAAAAATATTTTTAAAAAGTCATTTCAAACACACCTCTTAGGGTTCTATTTTTTATATTAAATTTGAAGTGTTAATATTAACCGTCAGATTAACTTTAATGTAAAATTTAAAGAGATCTCAACTGTGAATAACAAAAGTCATTTTGTTTATTTTTTGAGATTTGAATTGTACTGTATTTTATTATATAAATACTTGTAACTGCATTTACAAATATGACCACTCATTACTTACTTAGTTATCGTCTTCTTGGAATGAACTATTTTTACAGCACAAAAATATGCAAAAAAAGGGCATAAATTAGATCTTCATAGAAAATTATTCAAACTTTTTCATTTGTATTACAACCATATTAACTCATAATGAGGTGAATGGATCCAAGCTTATAACTTATAAAATGACAAACAAAAATTTAAGATTTTATGCAATTGCACAATCACAAAGACACACATGATCTTTTTTCATTTTCTATCTTCACATAACCAAATTGGAGAATCACCAAGTCTCAACTTCGAAGAAACAGTGCTCTAGAATATAAAGAGTAGACGGAAAAAAAGAAAGAATAATTCATGTTGATGTTGTTAACTTTGATCAATCAAAGAAAAGTAGGAAGAAGAAAGAAGAGAATATTATTGAGACACAATTAGCCAGAACAAAACTTAAAGGAAAACTACATATCAAAGGTCTTTATATAAAAAACTAAGCTAGGGCAACATAAAAGAAACTAATTGACTAAACTACCCCTAAGTCTAAATATAATAACTATTCTAACACCCTCCCTCAAACTCATGATGTGGTAACATCAAACAGCAAGATTTTGCTAAAAAGAAAATGGAAGCGTGCGATGGTGTGAGATTTTGTAAAGAAACGATCAATAAGTAGCCAATACAACCAAACTATCCCGCTATTATGAAGGTCGTAGCATGATACTCAGCTTCAGCAGATGATCGAGCCACAACAGTTTATTTCTTACTTTTCCACGAAATAAGACAATCACCAATGAAGAGACATAAACCAGTGGTGGACTTGCGATCCATAGAGTCATCAGCCCAGTTCGCATCAGAGTAAGCACAAAATTCTAGAGACGATCAAATAGCAATGAGAAGTCCAACAGAAAATCAAAGCTCAATAAAAACCACCAACAACAATGCTTAACAAAACAAATCCCAGCAAAGAAAAAACAAACAAACCAGAACTAGTCCCAAATCAACAGTAATCAAAATCAGAAACTAGAACCAAAAGAAATAGTCAATGTCAAACAATCCAAAGTTCGCCACAAATTAACTTAACAACTTTGCAAATCAAATGCTTCATCCAGTAGTTCGTTCACAAAATCAGCCCCAAAGGCTCAAACCCACCAATCAAAAGTGGAAACAAAGTTTCCTGCTTATTCAATGTGAAACAATGCAAATGGAAACAAAAGTTTTCTACTTATTCAATGCGAAACAATCCAAATGGAAACAAACAAAAGTTTCTTGCTTATTCAGTGCGAAACAATGCAACGCTATGTCAAATAGCAATCCCAAACGAACAAATCAAAAACCAGCAATGTGACAACTCACTAATGTATAAAACCAACTAATTAACAAACCAGTCCAAAAGCCCAAAGCAATAGCAGCAAACAAAGAAGAAACAACCAGACTAGCAACCAGAAGAAGCAAAAGAAGAAGAAGAAGAAGCACCAGAAGAGAAGAGGCAGCAACAAGTCAACAAAAATAGCAATCCAAACAGCAGATCCCAACGTACCAACTTCGCAAGCCAAAAACCAATGAAGAAGTAGACGTGCTTTAATACAAACATCTCGAGCCAATAAATCAAACCAGCAATCCAGCAACTAGACAACCCAAATTCCATAACTTTCAAAAGTCCAGAAGACAAACAGAGACAGTAAAACAGCAGCAAAACACTAGAAAGGCACTAAAAATTGAAATTTGGCATTGTTCAGTACTTCGACACTGTTCACATCGCGTGAACAATACTTCGGCACTATTCATAGCCCCTGCAATCCCAAAAAAATAACAATCCACCAATCACTAGCTCTTAAATCACACAACCCAAGAATATATTCTTCCTCCAACTAAATTACTGTGGTGTTACAATATATATTTTGGATCAAAATCATGCTCTGATATCATGTTAACTTTAATCAATCAAAGAAAAGTAGGAGGAAGAAAGAAGAGAATATTATTGAAGCACAATTAGTCAGAACAAACTTTAAAGGAAAACTACATATCAAAGGTCTTTATATAATAAACTAAGTTAGGGCAACATAAAAAAAAATAAATGACTAAACTACCCCTAAGTCTAAATATAATAACTATTCTAACAAATGTCACCTCCACTATCATCTTATCAAATGTCCAATTTTTTTTCCTTTCTATTTTCATCCTCATGCTTGAATTAATTGGGGACTTCGTGAAAAAAAATTTCATTGTGTATAATAAATCCCATGATAGAGTTGGATGATGTACATCATACATAAATAGATCCTTCTGTAATACATAGATGAAACTAATATCATTCTAAACGATCTTATTTCATCACAAGAGGGAAAAACAAAAACAAACAAATAGAGATGAGAATCGCTACGACGACACATAAGAATTAGCTACAAGTACAAGAAGAAAATGGACTATTATGTATGAAGCACAAGGCCTTGAACAGCTCAACTTTGACCAACAAGGACATCCCTATATGGAGTTGGCGCTGATCTTCCTTCTTCTGCCTGCCACACTATCCTCCTCTCCTCCTCCCGAATGAAAGGTACATGACCTTCCCTTATGATAATCAATCTCTCTTGTGCACCTCCTCGTAGTTTCTCCAGTCGTAGGCCGTCGATTTGTTGCATCTTGAACACTTTAATGACATTTGTTAATCCCCCAATGAACAACAAGACACTTGCAAACATACCCAACCAGATCCAAGTCACAGCCTGCATATACATAGTTTGCCTTAGGGGCCCTTAGACACCTGCCTTTAAACTTAAGCAATAAATCTAGTTTAAACTACTCATATATATCATAGACAATCCTGTGGTACCACTGAAATAAATCAAATTGAGCCAAAGCTGGGCTCGCTAGTTTGCAAAGAGTGTTCGTGCTCGGTTGAGGCTCTTGACAATCTCCAAACATCTTGTGTTCAAACTTGTCAATTATTTGTCAATTCTCAAGCTCGGATCTCTAAGCGAATGAGCATATACTAAGAAGTCAGACTCGATCATGTTTAAGATGAAGATCAACTCAGGTACACATACACAAAATTATGTAAGCAATATAGAAAAAATAAATGTGAATATAAATATTTCATGTGATACTTTATTATTCAGTTCGTATATCAAACGAACTCTCAAATTAAAAGTGCTTTAGTCCAAAACTATTCATGAATAGGTATTGAGCTGTATGTACAATTTTCTAGATTTCCCATTCTATGTGATTGAAATAAATCTTGTTACCACCTCCTTTTTTCCATTTATTCTCTTAGACCAAGAAATTGTAAAGGCCTAATAACACTTTTGGTTCTTAAAGTATACATTTTTTTGTCAGTTTAGTTTTTTTTACTAATCAAACAATCCGTCAAGTTTTTTGACGGAAGTGACTATATATCATTTTTTTTGACGGTATAATATGTCCAACATGTAATCATTCTGTTAAAAATTTAATGATCCGTCTATGTAAGAATCAAAATGACACGAATTGAATATTTTAGAGACAAAATTTATAAAAATGACGGCTAACCTGATGTGTTATCGAAATTATCAACACATATAAATCACAGCCATGAATGACTTACCAATAAACCCACGCCATAGTGAACAAATCCTGCCTGCTCATATCTATTCATAATCGCTCCCACCAGGAGCAACAAGCTCGCCATCAAGAATGGGATGTGAACACTCTCTTGTAAGATTTGAACGTGCCCATCCGCTCGTTCGTATATCTGGCATGAGTTGAGGATTGATCCGATCAACCATAGAACAGGACCAGCTATAAGCATGTTCAAGGCATGATTCTCCAACTGTATGTTACGATATCCTTTTTCTGCCTGCATTGTGTACATTAATTGTTGCAACAAACAAAGACATATTAGAATTTCCACAGCACTATGAAGGAACCTGGCTCTTCTTCTCTCCCACTTGTAAATTTCTACTCGATCGATTCAGAATTCACTTGGGAAATTATGGGTTACTTTTAGTCCCTTAAAATAGGTCTGTTTTAATATTCATTGTATTAATTTTTTTAATTTAATCCCTAAAATTTTAATTCGTATCATTTTAATCTCTAATTTAATTGATAAAATTAATATTTTAGAATTAAACTCACATATTTTAAGGCCAAAAATATTATTAATCCGAAAATCAATCAATTTGAACGGTCTTTTTTTTAGCAGATCTACCATTTACGGCAATCCTTTTTCTTTCTTTTTTTTTTTTTTGGATCATTGCCAATATTAAATTACTAATTGAAACTTAGACAGTGAGTGAGTGCAATTGCACAAAAAAAGAAAAAAAGAAAAGAAAAGCGCACCTCAATTAGAAGAAAAAGAACCCCCAAGAAAGAAAGAAGTGAGCCCAACGCCTGAAGCATAGGCACCGCAAATTCGACAACTGCGAGCTGCGCATCAAACTCCAACAATGCTAATCGATAATCGATACTGGCAAGATGAGCTAAAAGATCATGAACATTCACCACGAATATGAGGAACAAGCCAATGAGTATGAGAACAAGCCCCGATTTTGGCTCGGTTGAAAGGAGAGCAGCGAAGCCACATAGAAGCAAAATCGTAGCGAACACATAGAGCCCTGCGTTTATGTACTCTGATCTGTTCCGAGCCAGACTTGGCCCGTACAATCGGCTCTCACGCGCTGACGCAAGCTTTACCATCCTTGATTGAAACTGTTATATATCTATGTAGACGAACAGATGAATGCTATTGAGTTGTAAGAGTTGATCGGTGGTGAACAGAGACGGTGGTGATTTGGATGAGGAAGAGGAGGAGGAGAAGCATTAGTCAGAGAAAATATAGTAGGCACGCGTGTGTGAGAGAGAGGAGTTGGGGGGGGTACGTGTCGTCGTGCATGGCTTTTACATGAAAGCGACTTCTGATTTTCATGGAGGACTTTGAACAAGCCAACTGAACACGTGGCGGTCATAGAAAGAGAGAATTCTTCCAGAAACGGTGCGTTTTGTTTTTTTAATTTTTTTAATATCTTTCTCTTTTTATTTTCCGTTAATCTAGAAATTTCATTGTGGTCCGTTTAGATGCAGTGCGCATTAGCGATGGATAGCGGGAGAATCAAGACTGCTGTGGCACAACACGCAAATAATGAACCAACTGTTCGAGGAAATGCATGAACGAACTGTTATCTCATGGAACACTAATATGATTTCAGGTGCGCCGCCTCAAACACTACTATGATTTTATGACTCCGAATTTAGAGATAACTTTAATGTATAATATATTGTTTAATAAATTGAGTAGAATTGTAGTACAGCACATAAGACAATTTATAGGAAAATTCAAAAGCTTAAGATTTTTAAAATGGAAACAAATCTAGGAAAGTTATCAAAAATAAATAAACACATGTCGAATAAATTAAGTAAATTGACATGTGTTAGAAAACTAAATATCCTAAAATATTACCAATTAAAATTTGATTCTAACAACGTAATAAAATAAAATATAAAAATTGTTATTCTTGTTCTACATCATTACTTCATCTCGATCCTCAATTAAAAGAGATGACATTGATATTTATAAAATTTCTTGTGTTATCGTAATGGCATGGCCCAATAATTATTATAGCTATAATTGTTGGATTTTTTTCATTGGGATTATGTTGGTTGACATGTTATCATGTCAGCAAATGTCAGATTTTTAAATTCAAATAATATTATACATTTCAAAAAAGCACGTCTTTAATTTAACTTCGTTTTGCAAAAAAAAATAAAAAATTACTGAAAAAAGGAGAATCTTTGGTCCCTTTTTTATGAGGAAATGATGCATTGGATGAAATTTGCAATATTTGCTATATATCTTATTGTCATATCAAGTGGAATAATACACGGTTTGATCTTTACTACAATAGGCAAATCCTAATTCTTATTCTAGTTTGCTTTAGTTGTAAGAAGAATTGGTTGCACTAAAGAAAAGTTTCCCCCTTTGAAACCACTTCAATTTATTCTAACTGCCTCTTTGAGAGTAGATGAAATTTATTGCCCATCAAAATGAAGGTTTCCCTGTCACAAACAAAGTAAATGGGTTAAATCTTCTGTAATAACAAGATTAAATGCATATAACTGGAAGTGCATTAATTAGAGACTTGTAATTTGTATGTAAACACATGATAATTGCACACTTGCATGCGCACAACCTGTTATCCAAGAGAATATTTAATACAACGGTGATACCAACCAATAATAAATTATTAAATGGGTAAAGTGAATCTGATTTTGTTAGTTATTGACTTACATAGAAGAAAAGTGAATAATAATCTATTTATATGGACGAGTAGTTATTGGTTTATGTAGGGTCCACTTCCTTATTTGTCTTCATATCATTGGTTAATGATACTATGTGGTAATGCTGATGTGATATCACGCAATAAATATTTTTTTTCTATTATCCTCTACTTGGAATGAAAGATGTTTTTATAAAAAAAAAGATTTGCAAAGGGAAGTGAACTAGACCTTGGCGTAAAATCCTTCAGATCTTGCCATTGATATCGTCAGTTGCCGTGACTTGAGATTGCTGTGTGGGTTTTTCGTTGCTCTTTTCTACATCCCTTTCGTGTTGTTCTTCCATGATTCCTGTTGTCTTCCTATACTTGAAATAGAGCACTAGCTGGAGAATGCCTAAAGGGCTGCCAATCATATTAGGAGACTGCCAAGATTTTGAAATTCAAGATAAGATTAGAAATTATTCTAGTATTTATATCCTGTTAATAAAAAACAGAGATTCAATTGTGTAACGAACCGTCATCAAAAGATCATGGCTCAATACACCGTAACCTAGCCAAATTGAACTAGCAAGAAAAGAGAAAAACGACAAATAGAATGGCATAAATTCCACACTCTTTGTTTGTATAACACGTCTCTGCAATCATGAAACATGGATCAATAGTGTGAAGTGGCATACAAAATTTAAGATGTCATGCCTATATGAACACACAAACAAAAATGAATTTATAAGGGATAATAAGGAAAATGATTGGGAGAAAGAGACGACTCACCACAGCTATCAAGGGAGAGCCGTACATTGTTCCGGAGGCTATCAGTCCAATAATCCCGATAAATACCTTGCGGTGATGGTGATTGTGCAATACAAAAGATGATATTATTGCAGCGATGACAAAAGCTATGGTAACAGCTATCGTTAGCATTGAAACCTTCATCTGCACCATGACAGCTAACTATTAGTATTCCATTCAGGTAAATTAATGCATGTAGAGTTTGATTCGTCGCAGTATTCAAAAATTTATAGAATAAAGTAATAATTAAATTTAACAATAATTAAAATATATATTAATTATTCGACACCTAATTTATTATTTAATTTAATTACACGTATAATTCACGTTTATAAAAATATTATTTAAATTTATTTATGTGCAGTGCACGTCATGTATTTCTACTTATTATGAAAAGGGACCTACGAAATAATAAATTTGGTGTTTGCATGAGAAAATAGCTTGCCTTCCCTCTAGTCGATGCAAACCAAAAATATATGAAGATGAAGGAGAGCTCGAGAAGAATCCCTAAGCCATTAATGGTGACCAAGGGGAAGTTTTCCCACCTATGGCTTACAACTGGAAGCCCATACCAAGTGTAAAGGAAACAATTCAGAAGTGCAATAACGTATGGAACGCATGAAAACTCCTCTGTGCTTTTCTTCCTAATAACCCTTGCAAAAGTTAATCTGGTTACAACAGAAACGAAAAACTCCGACATTAGCTCAACGAGGTTATAAGTGATGTAAGTATCAAACTTTCAAAAACGAAAACAAAAATCAGCAGTGTGGTAGTAGAACTTGATCGTTACATGGGTGCACCATAGAGTAGCATGGAGGCAGCATTTCCTGCAAGATACACCATGCATGCTTAATATATATAATAGGGACTGCAAGAAATAAGAAAAACAGAAAGTTACCCATTACTCCTATTGCCAAACGCAACTTGTCTCCCATGCTTAAGTGTGAGGCAAATAGTTCTTGAGGTGGGAATGGTCGGAAGAATGGACCTTAAAAGAGCAAGTTAAGAACGTGGCTTCACCAGCTTAGCATTGTATAGATTATAGGAGATATAAATACTACTGAGAAGAGTGAAAAAGAGAATATCGAAAAGAGCGGTTTGAACATAAAGAAGTGTGGTCTTCGTCTTGCAAACTTGTGGGGGGAAACAATTGGCTTTAATGGTGTGGGCATTTGCATGAATTCGTTTAATGCAAATGCTCCATGTTAAATCTTTTTTTCGGATTTAACTATTAATGTTTGGTTTGATACGATCAAAAAAATAAAAAATTAGAGGGATATATAAAATATCATGTTTAGTAAGAAAAGAAAATAAGAATGACGGAAAAGTGGATGAATGAACTTTTATTCTAACTCACCAAAATTAACTCTTCCAAACGAATCGTAAGACAGATAAGAGACGAAAGAGAAACAACATAATGCAAATTGTTTGCTGTATTTGGTTCTCTTGATAGTGGAAGATGTTACTTGACCTGCACTACCCACTTGATACAAATATTCTTGGTGTTGTTCTTTTCCCGTCAAACATGGAACTGGTATATTGGGAGCTTTTTCTAATGCATGCGTTCTTTAGTTTGCTTTCTCATTCTTCATTTTTGGCTAAAAATATGGTATACGATACATTTTTAATGAACTTGATGACCCTGCCTCCTTGGGTTATTATTTATGTATCCATTTCAGAGAAACAATAATTCTTGTACAATGGTACTATGAGTGATACATAAATTATTGGGAAAGACAGGACAAGAGACCCTTGAAACACCGGAAGAGCCCCAAAAAATCGAAAGAAAGAGGGAGAGTAGAGGACTCGTTTAGAGGAATAAAGAAAGGGAAATATTATATAATTTAAATTTATAACTTAAATTTACATCTCAAATGAATGGGAAAAATTATATGAGTGGGTCTTATTAACTTTTTTAATTAGGACCCACTGATTTAACCATTCTTATTAATTTAAAATGCACATTTGAGATACAAATTTGAAATATATGACATTGCTAATAAGGAAAGCAAAGACAAACTACAAAAAGCAGTTAGAATTCAGCATGGGGAATCAATTCATTCGAGACTCGGAAGGTTTTATGCTTGCTTCTTGGTGAAACCAAAACAAATTCTATTCCAACAAATGGTTTTGTGCTCATTGCTATCACTTTTAATACGGTAATGCTAGATTGATCAAATTTTGGAATTAAATTTAGAGTCCAAATGACATGACAGTTGATTATTTGAAGTATTTATTGGGGCCTAAATGACATGACACCAATCAGAGAAGCCCAAGTCGATTGCTATATACTAATGCTACATTAACTAAATTTTGTGACCAAATTTGGAGCCCAAATGACATGACAGCTGACTTGAGCTTTTTTATTTAATGTTATGTCATTTGGACCCCAATAAAGACTTCAAATAATATGTTGTCATGTCATGTCGACTATAAATTTGATTTTAAAATTTGGTCAGCGTAACATTACTCAATATATATATGTATATATGAGAAATTTTTAAGAATGTCTTTTTTAACATAAAAATTTCATTACTAATTTCTTTATTTTATGTTTGGCTATTAACCCTCTGCTTTTCTTGACAGATGGCACTTGCATGGGTTCTAATAACACATATAATACAAGATGACTGTTTCAGGCAAAAGAAAAGGAACTGATGCTCTAATTATCTCTATTTATTCTTCAAAAAGCTAAAATGATCTTTAATGCTCTGTTTGGTACGATAAAAAAGTGAGAGGATAGAAAGTTAGAAGGTTAGAAAATTGGAGAGATAAATAAAACATCATGTTTGATAAGAAAGGAAAGTAGGAAAGATGGTGATGGTGCTCGGAATTTATGGCCCAAGCACAACTATGATGGGATGATATTCTGAGTAGGTTTCGCAGATTATGGATTAATCTTTTATAATCAGTTAGATGAGGAATATAAGTGGTTCACCTTAGCCGATGGACTAAGGCTATATCCACTATCAATGGAGTCTTTTGCTTGCTGGGTTTGTATATTCATCAATCGGAGGTATGCTTCCTGAAACTGGGGACTCTAAGTCCACTTACAAAGGATGAGTGTTTAGGTATTCTTTTTTAGTTTTCTATGCTTTTAGGCTTTTGAATGTTTACTGATTCAGGGGAGAGGATGTTCTCACCAGGTTATCATTCTCTATTTATATTAGTCTCTCCTAGGGTCTTCAGTTGTCCTTCCCTTCGTATTGATCCCTCTTGTCATTTCCTCTGCCTTTTCCTGCTTCTTCTGCCACCATGATCACTGTTCATCCGGCACTGCCGTCGCCACGATCTCTGGTGGCTTGGCTCTCCACCTTCTCTGAGATTGTCGTAGGTGTCAAGAGTGGTCCCCTAGGGTGTGTGGTCCCCACTGGTGATCTAGAAGTACTTTGGATCGGGCTTTCAATCTCCAAACTACTTTACGGTTTGGACTAGGCCTGGATTGTTGGGTTATAGGCTTTCTTCCGATGCAAAGTTCTTTTTCTCTGCTCCGGGCCTCTTGGGCTAGTAAGACTTCTGGGCCATCAAAGCCCTGGCCTTGAGTTTCGTTCGTATCAGTTGCCCCCCAGCCCTAGGTTGTGAAGATCTTACCATCTCTAGCCTAGGGTTAAAAATGACTTTTCTGGGCTTGTTATGGCTTTTGAAGTGACGACTATGCCTAGCTATTGGTCCTGATTAGGATTGGGCCACGCCTCCTTTTGTTGGCGATGATGGAATGGTAATACACATGTGTCACCATCGGGTGAGCTCATGGGTACGACTTTTGTGGCGTGTCCTGTCATTTGCCTGTCATGAATTTAATTCTTCACACATACATATACGTCCCTCTTGGGGGAAGGTCCCTTGGCTTTTTATTCTGTGATTTCGAGTCCCATTTTCCTTCGTGCCCCTTTCCCTTTCTGTGCTTTCGAAGCGTCTTGCTTCAGACTTTTGGGCGACTTACGACATCCTCGTCTTTGGTTCTCCTCTTCCTCTACTGTTTCACTAGGTACACCTTTCTTCCCTTCTTCTTGCTATTTCGACCTGGATCCATTTAACCCTCCTTGGTGGGTTTTTGAATTTCACTTCTTGATCTGGAGGTTTAGTTATTTTAGAGAACACTTCAGCGACCTTTTTTCCCTTTTGCGATTCGTAGGCCATTCTTTAGTGGTGATGGTATCCTTACTTAGGACCTGGAGTTTGAAACCTTTATTTTTGGCGGATTGTGCCTTGTATTTACCTTCCCTTCACTTTGGTGTGAGATCCGACCTTTTGATGGGGAAGTCTGTCGTTTCTTCTTCTGAATTGGAGTCTATTAGTGAGGAGGCCGAGGAGACCACCACGGCTTCCTCTAGTGGGCGTTCTCTTTCCACTAGTGGTGAAGCTCTTGAGTCTACTCCCGGAGTTTCATCCTCGGTGCCTCCAGTCGAAGTTGCGCCCCTTTTCGCCCTGCCTCCTGATTCTCCTACTCAACTGAAGAAGAGGAAAATCGGGTCGGCTCCGCCCCATGTTCCTAAGAAACGAATTCATCGTGAGCCATCTGACCTGACCTATTGTGCGGAGGGGACCTCCCAGCTGTCTTGGTGAAGAGGATTTGGAGGAATTGAGGTGTGAGTATCGCTTTCCAGACTTCGTGGAGTTGCAATCCTCCGAGAAGCATGAAAGGTGTAATTCTATTCTTTCTGAACTCACTTGCTTCTTCGAGTCTGCATTCCGGATTGGTCTTCGATTTCCTATCTATCTTTTTATCTAGAATATTCTCGGGTTCTATAATGTATGTCCAGCCCAGTTGCCTCCCAACGGTTGGGCCTCCTGGTTGGTTTCCCTGTCCATTGGTTTGAGAGTGGGAACATCTCTTCCCTCTATTCGAGAATTTGCTTCCCTTTTTCAATTGAAGTCTTCTCCTTCCTTAGATTTCTTGTATTTTTCAAAAAAGGTAAAGGCGAAGACTCTGATTTTCGGGCTTCCTTCTTCCAATAAAGGATGGAAATCGAGGTTTTTTTTGCTAGGGACAATTCCTAGGAATTGTTAGGGGAGCCTAGCGACGTTCCTCGTGTTCCCAGATCTTGGGGGGCTCCAAGGAACACTAGTAAGGCTAATCTGCGGGGGCGTGTTCCCCTTTGTTGCTTTATCTTCTTTTTTTTTTTTTTTTTGTTTCTAACTTTTGATCTGGTTTGCAGAATTCTGCCCTGTACTTGGCACGGAGGAGGCAGCCCGAGTTGCTAGAATAGAAGCCTTTGGGTTGAGGTCTTTCTTTGACTTAGTGATCAACAAAAACCTTGCTAAATATGGGCTAGGACCACTCATTATCCGAGTTTCAGAGGTTGCACCAACTTCTGCCTCCCAGTCGGATAACATGGACCAGGACCTGATCATGGCGCTATTCTTGGATACCTAGCAATCGAGGAAAAGAAGAAAATTAGTGAAGGAATCCCAACTGCCATCCAAAGAGGTGTCGGTTATTGGGCCCACACCCACTTCCTTGGAATAGAAAAGCAAAGATCTTCCTTCTCAAGGGGATGCTGTCGTGCCCCTGCCTTCTTCTACACTTCCCAAGGACGATACTCGTTCTGAGGAGGTTTTAGCGGACAAGCTCGACCTTTCGGCCCCCCATCCTGCCTCACCTAAAGTTATTTTTCTGAAAGGTAGAAATGGGAAGTTCACCCTTTCCAAGTCTAAGGTGCACGGTGATGGCTTTCTTTACGATCCCGAGGCCGCAGTGGCTGCCCTATCTAAGCTGATCTCCACGTCAGATCCTCAGTCGTCCATGGAGGAAGGAAAATCCAGCACACCATCCAGGGCCTAGCCGAGGTACCTTCTTGTTCCGTCTATCCTCTTAGTCGTTCTTTAATCCCTTTCCTATTTTCTGTGTTGACCGATCTCCTTTTTCTTTCATAGTCGCTCGCCTGCATGAAGATGTTGAATTTTCACCATGAGTGGGATCTCCAGAAGGCCAAAGATGCTCTTGACGTCATGTCAGTTAGCAAGGACACTGTCGAGGAGAAGCTGAAAGTTTTGGTTTTCGAGGTCGCAGAGCTGTAAAGGATTAACGACTAGTTAGACTCCCGCCATCAGGACCATATTACGCTCAAAGAGTCACAGATATGGGGGCTTGGAGGCCGAGCTCAAGGTTAAAGACGCAGACCTTGTAGCCAAGGACAAAGAAATCAAAGCTATGGATGTGG